AGAGAGAGAAAGAGAGAGAAAGAGAGAGAGAAAGAGAGAGAAAGAGAGAGAGAAAGAGAGGGAGAGAGAAAGAGAGAGAGAAGTTGAGAAAGTAAACAGGGTAATAAAATACTTGAAATCTTACCAAAGCATATGAATGATGGAATTGTAAAGCAATACTTATCCTAGTTGCAGATTAATTAGTTTCTGGACACATACCTTCCAATACATTTGTAACTTGCTCTTGAAAGTTATCAAATTCAAATGGTGTGAGGAAGCCAAGAGATCCCAAGTGGAATGCCATAACAGGAGGCACAGATTGCTAAAACACAAAATTAATAAAACCAATGTCAAATGTACATTTAAAAAAAATTGTTACTTTTGTAAACACAGTATTTGTTTGGAGTGAAAAATCGAAAAGGGAATTCCAAAAATATTATTTTTATTATTATTCTTAACATTCATGATTAAACATAGTCTTCAGTTTTAGTTTTTAATACAGTGATTAGTCAACCACACCAACCTTAGATGGTACTGGGTTTAAAAGAAAATTTATTCAATCCCATTATACATGCACAATGTCAAGCACCTGATAACTTTTACCTGATGTTTAGCAATGTTTAGTAACAATCACTGGAAATTCTCTCAGAGTAAAATCCATATGAGTATGATATGACATTTGCTACAGTGATGTAATGAAGTGCAGGGCATTGTCCCAAATGAACTTTCACTGTAACCCAATAGCAGAAATTAAATAATATTTATCATTTGAACATATTATAGTGGGGCCAATGCTATCAATCTAGAAACTTTCCTACTTAATTCTATGATGTGAAATGTATTACTTCAGCAAATTTTAATGTGCCTCACCATTTCATGAAACAATTAATTACATCAATATTAAGAATAAAGGATTTATCAACACTTTATTAACATTTGCTCAAAAATTGGTTTATACATTTGAGGTATAATGGTTAGCATATTGGACTGTTTGATCCTAGTTTGCGGGTTCAAACCCTATTGAAGGATTTTTAAGGCTGAAAAAATCCTTTTTATTTCTTGCTTTGGTGGGGAAGCCAACTGCCCCACACAGTAGAATTACTGCACATAAAAGATACTCCAGACTAAGAGAGTCTCTGACTTTAATTCCAAATCGCCAAATTTCGTAGCCAGAGTTTAGATGGTGAAAAACGTACAGCGAAATTTGCCTGGTGCCACGTAAAATAAGGCATTGAGTAAAAATTGTATTTGCACTTTCTTTCCTAATTTGAAGTTGCCAGGAGTGGACAGATATGTATTGTCAAGGGAGGAACCCTCCACATGACGTACCTGGAAGAGTTGACTGGCGTAGAGCAAGGTGCCATCCCCGCCCAGGCAGATGATGAAGTCGATCTTGTCGGTGAGGTCGTCCTTGCCGTCGCGAAAGGTCATGAGGCGGTCGCGCAGCGTGCAGAAGTCAGCGCTCGCCTGCAGTGACGCCTCCTCCAGCACCGCCTGCTCCACGAACACCACCATGCGCTTCTCCTGTGATTGCACCCAGCGCGATTAGATCTGGCATTAAGCCCAAGGGGAGAAAGTGGGGAAGAGAGATGAATGAAGAGAATAGAGAGAGAAGGGGAGACGGGGAGAAAAGAAGGGAGAGAGGGAGAAAATAAGGGGGAGAGGGAGAGGGGAAGAAAAGAAGGTGAGAGGGGATAGAGAGGAAGAGGCGGAGGGGAAGAGAGAGGGCGAAAAAGGAGAGAGAGAGGTAGAAAAAGGAGAGAGAGAGAGAGAGGTAGAAAAAGGAGAGAGAGAGAGGTAGAAAAAGGAGAGAGAGAGAGGTAGAAACAGGAGAGAGAGAGGAAGAAAAGGAGAGGGAGAGGGAGAAAAAGGAGAGGGAGAGAGAGAAAAAGGAGAGGGAGAGGGAGAAAAAGGAGAGGGAGAAAAAGGAGAGGGAGAGGGAGAAAAGGGAGAGGGAGAGGGAGAAAAAGGAGAGGGAGAGGGAGAAAAAGGAGAGGGAGAGGGAGAAAAAGGAGAGGGAGAGAGAGGGAGAAAAGGAGAGAGAGGGAGAAAAAGGAGAGAGAGGGAGAAAAAGGAGAGAGAGGGAGAAAAAGGAAAGAGAGGGAGAAAAAAGAGAGAGGGAGAAAAAAGAGAGAGGGAGAAAGGCGAGGGGGAAGATGAAGGAAGAGAGGAGGAGAGAAGAAGGGAAAGAGAGAGAAAAGGGAGAGAGAGAGAAAAGGGAAGAGAGGAGAGAGAGAGAGAGAAAAGGGAAGAGAGGAGAGAGAGAGAGAGAGAGAGAGAGAGAGAGAGAGAGAGAGAGAGAGAGAGAGAGAGAAAGGATACACACTTGCAAGATTAATGGAGAAATAAAACAAAAACATTTCAGCAATAAAAACAAATAATCCTCCATGTGATACGACCAAATGCAACAAATTTCCCGTCCTTTCGTTCTCCTGCCGCACGTGTGCCGCCCCTACGTACTTCACAACCCGCGCGACACACCGGAGCATGCGGCTGCCTACACTGACGTCACTTCACGGGGCAGAGTGGAGGAAGCTCGGCAACTGTGTGCTCAAAGACACCCAGTATTTCGAGACATAACGTCAATGCAACCACTTTCCCACACTATAATGTTTCTTCTTCCTACATCTTTTTGTAGAGAGTGGGATCACACGAAGATAAATATAACGTGCTGTGGTCTATATCGATTCGTGATAAAGGACAAAAAATATGCTCAGAACGCCCGACACTCAAAACAAAATTAGAATATGCCAAGCACAAGACTCACAATATTAAGGCCTCACAATATTATTTATTATTAATTATTTATTATTAATTATTTATTATTAATTATTTATTATTAATTATTTATTATTATTTACTTATTATTATTATTATTATTATTATTATTATTATTATTATTAGGGGGCTTTAAACGTCCTTTGGAAAGGATCACTATTTCATATCATATTTTTTATCACTATAAGTAAAGTGCTTAATAGTAACTTGTTTTATTACCACCAACATTCTAATGAAATTTGTAATTGTGACGAACTTTGAATTGTGACGAATATTGAAACTTAGACCCTATTAATACTTCATTTATCTCTTTAACGCTTCAGCACAAGGAGCGCGGGGGATTCTAAGTACCAATTTTCAATGACGCATCACTGTAACATCTGCGGATTACCATAGCAGTCCTCAATTAATATATTATCACTAAAATGGGGTAGCTCGTTATGGCAACGTTTGTCAGCCCAAATATTTTATAATAAAAAATCAATATCCAGCGGATAAAGCGGTGAAAGCGGCTGAAATGAACTACTTTGAATAATGAAATTGTTGCCATTATACCTTAAATAATAATAATAATAATAATAATAATAATAATAATAATAATAATAATAATAATAATAATAAATGAAAGGCAATTCTGTGTTCTAAAGATTTGTTAAGCTAATCAGGGTTTTCGGAACGTAGAAGGCGCGAGTTGACCTGGTTCACAAAGAATCGTCCGCAACGAAGGCAAAGGCGCAGCAAGAGAGCGGAGGCGCGAGCTCACCTCGATGAGCCAAGTGACGAGCTGCACGAAGGGCTGGAGCACCGCTGCATCGCGCACCTTCTTGATGACGAGCACCGTCAGCGGGGGCTTGTACCACGTCAGCCGCTGGCTCGCCGGGTCCTGGATTGTCCTGCAACAACACCACAGCACCTCAGAAGATGTTTCGCTTGGGCGTGTGATTGGTGTCAATATACATTGCTTTCCATAAGTATACATTTAGTTCCGAAATGGACAAAGGTTCAAAAAAAAATTTACGCCACAAACTGTACTGGTGTACTTCATACTCTCTGAGGTACTTAATCGCTTTAAATAATAAATGTTTCACGGTTATGAGAATGACAAATCGGATCATAAAAACGGGATATTTATAAATATCAAAAAGGAGGTCACATAACAGTAGCATCTAGCTTCAATGGTAAAGGATGAAGAATGTAATGGTGAAGATGTAATGCTCCCGATAACGTGGTTATTTATTTTGAACACAGAACGAGTATGCTACTAGAAACAAACAGTACTGTGATTTCAGAATATTATTTATTTCCTAATAAGCATCCATTTTCGACAGTTCATTGAGGAACCCGTTTCAGAAGGGAGGAAACTATCGAACAGCACAAAAGAACTGGAACCAGCAGCATTCCGTCATCTGCTGCCCTCGAGACACAATACCAAGAAACGAAGCCATTAGGCCATTGTGGCTGCAGAAAAGCGCCAGGAGGGGTGCGCTTTCGCTGGGCCATTCGGCCCCTTCTCGAGAGCGTAATCGCTGCTCGGAGGACGAAAGAACTCGCTTCGCTCCCCGTCCCCGCGCACCACAAGCCACCCAGCTTTTGGGGACGGCGCGAGGCGAGGAAGGAGTGAACGCAACGTTTTAGTCGAAGAAGTCCGACTTGACTTCGCCCACTCATTTCTTTTCGCTAAGAAGCCATCGTAAATCGCGCTTCTTGAACCTTCACTAGTTTTCGAAGTTTTGCGGTGCTTCCTGAACACAGCCAGGAGGGAAATTTAAAAGGGGAGAATTACGCATTTGATATTTAGAAGCTATGATCTGCATTATGCCTTGGTTGATTAAACACCACTATATTCCTAGTAAAGTTGATTTTAAAAAATCTCTAAAACCTTTTCAAACATCTTTTTTTTTCATTTATTATTTCGTCACCTATTTCATTTTTACCTTCCAACTCAGTGGCACATCCTATACTCCTCGGACAAATAAAATACGGAAGCTCTTTGAGCACAATAATCATAAAAATGTAGTGTTCCTACAAAAAGGTACGAGTGTCATACGATTACTTAATTGGTTTCGATTATGACTTTATAGGGCACTGGAGTAACCATATCCAAGAAAAATGAAAAAAATTAACAACAGAAATGAGTTTATTGATACGTCCAGAGCAATACATTAAAGGGCAAAACTGATAACGAAGCAATAAAATTATTACATGTTTGCAATATGACGCGAAAAACGTCAACGAACTTACTTGCGTACAACCCCTACATAAATATTGATCAACGAGAGATTACTCTAACACGCATATGAGAACACCGTGCGGGAAAACTGAAGGCCGAAAAAGATACGGACTTTGAAATACAATTTTGCCGAAACAAATTGGAGAGATAAAATACGAGCCGCTGCATATGATTTTGATGATAAAGATGATGATTTCACTATCCTCTGCATTACTGCTTCAAAAGGCAACTGGCCGGAGCACTCGGAGAGCACGCCGCGCGCACATCTGGGAGTCCGCGAGATGAGCGGCCGAGACAAACCGAATCTCGCACGCCCTCGGGCGCGGCGGTGGCCTCCAAGCGCGAATCAATCGCGGGCGAAGGAGGTCGCGGCGAGCGGCGCGGCGCGGCGCGGCGGGCGGGCGGCTGCGGCCCATCGAGGCGGAAGCCTGACAAAGCGCCGCGCCGCGCCGCGCTGCGCCGTGGACAGACCACGCGTGAGCGCGCGCTTCGAAGTAGGCTTCGAAGTAGGGGTGCAACATTGATGCCGATGTTTTCAAAACATCGAGGTTTCTGTAATAGTATCAGTGTTTCAAACATCGATGCAGTCAAAGCGCCGCGCCGTCGACAGATAGCGTTTGAACGCGCCAGCTTCGAAGTAGAGGTGCGACATTGATGACCATGTTTTCAAAACCTCGATGTTTCTATAAACGTATCCGTGTTTCAAACATCAATGTATTAAAATTTACGTTTTTTGAACATCGATGTTATGTGCTCGATGTTTTGTCGTTCACGATGAACATACAGACGACAACACGTAATTCAGAGATGAAAAATTCCCCAATACATTTTTGTAATAAATATGAATACGACTTAATAACTGATGCTCCTTTATGTGTTCGAGCTACACGAACGGAATTTGCACTACCTTCGTCGAGCATACCTCGCTCCCGAGATGATCCTGGTACCTTGGCATTCCCTTCGTCTTTCCTCGTATTACATATTACTGAGAAACATTTTTAAACTTTCCACTTAAATTTTAATTGTTAAATAATGTTTAAATTCAGTTTCACATTAAATTTTGTTGAGCACGAATTTAATGTTAGAAGTTAGTAATCCAGCTTAAAAGCATCGATCGTTTTTAGTAAATGTATTGTTAACGTGGATATTTTAATTTTGAATAAATCTTTTTTGTTGTTGATGTCGCACCACTATTTTAAAGGCGAGCGGTACAACACGATCCTGCGGAGGTTCCATGTGACCGATGCAGCGGTAAATTTTACGCGGAAAAGATGGTACACTTGGCGGAAGGCGGATAATAGAGTTGCCGCGTAATGTATTGTCGCTGAAGGTGTCCAAGAAACGGAGGTCATTGACCGGTGCACGGTCATGCCACACACAACGGAGGCACTATTGTTTAGTAAAGAACTTATAACAGTTCAATCAGAATTTCCTATCCGAGGTAGTAAAGTGAGTGATAAACAAATTATAACAATTCAGTAAATAACAAAGTTCGTAATTATGAATACTCTTTCCGAAGCAATGATTGAAAAATATGAATTAATTTCCTATTTAATCGATCTATAAATCAATTAAAAATAACACCACTTCATGTAAATGGATCGCTACAAAAAATAATAAAATTGTAACCAAACTATAATACTTAATATTGACCATTGTTCGAAATATGTATAACATTATATTAATGCAAATCATTTGCATAGAAAAACTAAATACGGAAATTAAATTTTAAATATACAACACATAAAAATTACTACACACAGTGAGTACCACGAGAGCCATTCCACAGGTGATGGCAACTAATGTATTGTATCAGCTAATACAACGCTAGGAAGAGAAATTCACTACATGCTATTAAATGTCACTGACATATTCTTTGAAATTCTGATACTAAACTGGTTCCTTGTACAGGATCCAATGAGTGGAGGGGGGAGGGTTGAAAGATGTATAAATATAAAACATTGTTTTATTGTACACAAAGGAAACAACCTTCATCAGTCACAGCTAATTATTTTCAAAATAATTCGCCAAGGTCCTTTGTTAACAATGCAGGTTTGAATACCATTGGGTGAGTGTGATTAATGAACGCGTACACCCTGTCGTCCGACGCGCCTCAGGGCAGCAGCTGCGACGCGAAGGCCTCCCCCTCCCCCGCGTGCATCACACCATCACCCTACGTATGGCGCTGGCGATCATTTCTGACTCTAAGAACTGCAACTTCACATACGACCTCTGTTCCACCACACCATCCATATTGGAACACGGCAACATTCTAACTATTGTGTGTGATGTCATGCTTGCCACCAATGCACAGACACGATTAGGTGGTGGCATTTCTTAGAGCGTCAATCAGGATGTCCACCGTAGAAACTAAAATAACGATATTTGTTATTTTGGAAGAAAGATGACATGGCTCAAATAATGGCACTCGTTGTTGAACTTCTAACAGTAGGACCGAGCCATAATGAAATAATGAAACAAGTCATAATGAAATGCATGCTTTCAAGACGATGATGGCAGAAAAATAAAATGCGAAGAACATCAGTACATAATAGAGTTCCGCAGTAAAAAAAAAGAAGCAAAGCATTTGAATTGTCAGTCGAATGCATTACCTGTACTTACGGCATAATTCGCCGCCACACAATGAAGCACTGCCGTTGGAGGAAAAGAACCACCACTTGAAAGCCCAGAAGCGGACCTGTCAAACAACACGATTCGGCGCACCATCCACCGAAAGTACACCCGTCGCTCCAGCAGCAGACCACATGAGAGGGCGCAGCGCCCGGAAGAGATCCGAAATAGCGCATCACAACAAACGGCGCTTTGCCAAACGGACCACCGCCCACGCCTTCCTCCACGCCGCCCCGCGGCCCCGCTCAGCACTCGCCGCGAAGTGCAGCTCGCAACTTCCGCCACCCGCCCGCCCATGGACAGATTCAAGAGACGAAGAAGGTGGCATAAAAATGTCGTTGCGAAATGTACAGCAATAGCGCACGCTCAGGTGAAATTGTTTGCAGGTTGAAAAACGACAAACACAAGTGCATTCTAGAATAAAAAGCGCTTGAAACAAACGTAATTTTCTAAAATCGAATATAAATGCAATGGTTAAACTTTAAGCAAAACGTGGTGATGAAATTGAGACTTTAACGTTTACTAGGATTTTTGCACAAGTGAAACCATCTAGAACAGAGTTCTGAACAAAGAAAATCGATTATAACAAGCGAAATTTGTATTTATTTACTTCAGTAAGTCTACACATTATCGAGAAAAAAGTTGTTATTGAAAAGTATTTTAAATATAGTTTGAATATACGGAATATTACTTTACAAGACTAGTTTTAGGGCATTCTAATATTTGTATATCAATAACCATAAGAATAAAAAGCTTAAGATATGAGCATTCTTTATCCCAAGAATTAATCGACCACTTAATATTTTCTTTGAATCAGCATAAAGACAATTACATTTGGACTACACGTCGGCAGTCTTAATCCGCGATTCCAAAAAGTTGTCAAGTTGTTCATACCTGGAGGCATAGTACTATTTTTGGAAGCTGACTTCAATTTTTAAGCTACATAAAACTAGATAAATAAAAAAGATATAATAAATTACAACAATCCAACAGCAGGGAAAATGGTTCTTAATGTGCCTGGGAGGGGGAGGG